AGCTGTTGTAGTTACTGGTTGAGCTGTTGTGGTGTCTGGTGAAGCTGTTGTAGTTACTGGTGGAGCTGTTGTTGTGTCTTGTGGAGCTGTTGTAGTTACTGGTTGAGCTGTTGTGGTGTCTGGTGAAGCTGTTGTAGTTACTGGTGGAGCCGTTGTGGTGTCTGGTGAAGCTGTTGTAGTTACTGGTGGAGCTGTTGTTGTGTCTTGTGGAGCTGTTGTAGTTACTGGTTGAGCTGTTGTGGTGTCTGGTGAAGCTGTTGTAGTTACTGGTGGAGCCGTTGTGGTGTCTGGTGAAGCTGTTGTAGTTACTGGTGGAGCTGTTGTTGTGTCTTGTGGAGCTGTTGTAGTATCTAACGGATCTGTTGTAGGGACTGATGGGTCAATGGTGGTGTCCGGGGGTACGGCTGTGCTGTCTTTTGTGTTATCAAGGCACGTATTACAGTAAACGAAAGATAACAGTCAGTTAACAACGCAATTTTTTGTCATATTTTACATGTGCAGTCAAACCTCGATCATCTGAACCTTAATTATCCAGTATTTTCGATTATTTGGTTTATGTGGACTATTCAGCCCATTCCCGATGGGTCTGGATAATCGAGGTTCGAATGTAATTGGTACTCTACCACGCGCGCTCTGATTGGATAACAGTGTGTTTGGTTTGAATTAGGTTTCTATCAAACCTCCCGCTTATGTTTCATCGTGGCCTATACCGAGCTACAAAATAATGGTATCTATCGCTGAAAGCCACCCCCATACCCAGCTCAGATGAACTTCTCCAAATCAGTTGTGTAAAATTCAGCCACTGTTTATTTGGATCGATAGGCGTGCCCGTGCGGAAATTGTACTTCGAAATCTCATTATACAATTCTGTCACAATGTGACGGCAGAGAACACAGTTTGTTTGGTTTGAATTGCTACAAATGGGCTGCGATGGTTTGGTGAAAACAAAGCCAAGGTTTTCACCAAGATTTTTGCTGTCTAAGACGTCGAACTCATGAAGTAGAGATCGGTTCTGTAAAAGAAACTGGGAGCAGTTCCGTGCCCCTTCAGCAAGTTCTGTATTCCAAGTTAAAGGCCCAACGGCTGCATGCAATGATCGAAAATTATTATGGTCCAGACAATCTTGTTCAAAGAAGGACAAGCCTGCCAATTAGAGAATTTAGCACATTTTACCTACAGAACGAGTACACTTTTTCCAGATTTGGCGATAGTTAATTCATCTTAAGAGGCTGTCTCTCTTATTTCTACTGGTGTTGGCGAAAAGGTCGCAAATGCTCGTGCATGTGCTAATTCGAACGTTCGTAACTTTTGACAAGTCGAAAACGTACAGGGGTTTTTGCATGAGTTTACCTCAAAAGGTCTAAATTCAACGGCTTTGTAGGATAGAGTTGTCAATCAGTCCCAAATCCCAAAACTCAACGTCTAAATAAAGGTTATTTACGGCCATTAGCCGATGGCGATTTATATTGGTCAGAATATAAGCTAAGATTCGCCTTTTCAAATGTGCTGAGAGGGAAATATAACTTTCTGGACAAACTTGAAAGGTATTTAATCAATATGACATAGATTTCGTGGCTAAACTATGCGAATCAAATATTTTACAATGTTACAATATATGCTAATTTTTTTAATTTTCGAGGCGTTGCGACGGTCCCTACGCACTGGGGAAATAATTATGCCCTCTGAGGCAGTCAAAAAATTATTTCGAATCAAACCAAATCTACTTTAATTCTTTCCTAAGAAAGTCTTTCAGTTAGCAGAGTTTCACGCAAAATAATTTTCGACGCGAAATTGATCGGTTGAAAATAAGAGACATCGTCTTAACAACTTATTCACTGTTTGTCTTTGATAGGGCACGTAGTAGAACTAGTCCTTACGGGGGCTTTCCGTTTTAGTGATATCTTTTAGAGAGCCGTTGTCTGTATCAAAAAGGAGTTGAACCTATTTTACACAGCCCAGTCTATCATTTCCTCTACCGAATGGTGGATTTGAAGAACACAGGCACGATGGACATTTACAGAGTCTGCCTTTAAAAGCCTGATAGTAATCCGCGCTGCAAGTGCGGCTTATTTAGTTAATCCTAGTTCCCGTATCAGACCATGCAAAACTTATGACTCTTAACCATCTTTGGAGAGCAATTTCACTTTTGGACATGCAACGAACGCTCTGATTGGTTGAAATAACATCTCCACGAAAAGGTGGCTATCTTTTGTGCATTTTATTGTATTCTCGTCGACACGTTTAATACTCTAACTCATACTTTTTAATATTCTCTTTGTTGCAACTTTTTCTGAGCAAGAGTGAGTACAAATAAAGATTGTTGTTGTCGTTGTTGTTGATTCATTTTATATCAGGAGTATGGAATACTGCTATTCGTAACTAATAACACCTTAATGAGACGGTGGTTTATTCAGAGTTCAACTAATGCAGTGTAACTACATGGGCGGATCCAGAAATTTTTGATTGGGAGGGTCCAAACTTTGGTTCAGAAAGGACTGTTGGACTCTTTTGAGGCAGATTACTTCTCTCCCACATCCACCACACCCCCTCTCACTAGTCCCGGTTGCACGTTATAATTCCTTGACCGCCTACCGTTTACTTGGATTCATTAAAAAAATCAGCCAGTTAAAAATTGATCTACGATCCTGTCGATGTAAGAATTTCAGTCTCAAAGTTGTAAGCGTCAGGTCTGATAAGGGGAGTCCGGATCCCTCGGCCCCTCCCCCCTGGATCCGCCACTGAACTACAGCTTTCCAGTCTCTCGTATCCAAGCAGAGCCAGTGTCATATAACTAAAATTACTTAATAGATAACAATTTAAATTTACCTTGTTTTTCACAATATTTTGATGACCTTGAGCTGCGAGATATTAGCTGAATAACAAGGTACTAGAGCTTATATTATGGGTTGACTAGCCAGTAATTACTTTCAGGTATACCAGTAAATAGGGGCAAGCAATTTGAAAGGAGTTTAACTAAGACCCCGGTTTTGGAGAAATCAATGGACTTAGAAATTTCTATCTAAGTGAGTTGTTTGAATGGAACAGATATCATGCCATTGTTGGCTGTAAGTCTTCTTGATACTGTTACAAAAGCTAACAATGAGATTAAATGCATGGTCATATCGCATGAAACATCAAATTTAAAGCCAAAACTTTCGGAGAGTCGAGAGTCCAAAGCGCTATCGCGGTAATTAAAATTTCGAAAGTCACCTTGTCTTCGTTCTATAAATTTAAAAATAGCCGGAAGAACAAGGTTGCCACAATCATTTTCAAGAGGTGACATTTCTTATGCTAATTACACCGTATCGAAATATATGCATCCTGTATGGCTCTAATTACATGTGGAAATTTTTAGCGAGACTGCAATAGAGGAAATTTCCTCAATTAAAAGACCGACCCTGATATGTAATGGTCAACAGAATATGTATAATCTTGGATGGGCCCTCGAAATAGTTTGACGCATGTTCTTAAACAGGTTTTTAAAAGAGTTGATCTGTCCATAAAGAGTTATTTTTCGACACTTAAGGATACGGTAGACCTTCGAGGACTAATTTTTTGGAATTTGTTTGCAATTTTTTTTCTTTACCATGTTAAACTAAGCATTTTTATTTTAACTATAGTTTCCAAAGAGAATTTTGGCAAAATATTGAAACGCACGCGAGTTATTTACAAGAACGCATTTTCGAACTAGATGCTTTTGTGTTTCTATTGGCGGTCGGCATTTTGAGTTTGCTAGAGTGCTGACATAACTTGACATGTGATCACCCAAAGGCGCCGTTGGGAAAACTTCGTTTTCACACGAATATGCCTTCTTTGAACGAATTAATAGGGTATGTAAACTTTACGGATTACCCTGAAATTTGGTCTGAGGACTCTCAAGGTACCAACCTAAAAGGACTGTGTGGGGGAATTCCGTTTTTCACAATGATTCTCCCGCAATGGCCTCCGACGTAGTAAGTATCAGTAAAATTCTGATCAGCGAAATTGACAGATAATAAATTGCAAAGCAGTCAATATGAATATCGAAAATCCCCACATGGTTTTGAGAACCAACCCCTGCGGATTGAAACTGTGCAGAAGTTTTATTTGTGCAGTCAGATTTGATATGCGATTAATTCACTCAAAGTAACATCGTCCACTTCGAATTGTTGCGCCCCATTCGATTCGGTTTACTACTAGATGGAGCTAAAACGAAATAATTTTTGCCGAATAGTGCATTTAATTAGGCTTCAAATAGCACGTTTAGCTTTTTTTTTTGCAAACGACACCCGCGAAGGTCTACCGTATCCTTAAATATCTCAGAAATATGGCTGAAATAGATGAACGTATTGCCGACCAACTTCTCAGGGTTGTACTCTGGCAGTGAATGTTTGTGGTGTTGTCGACAGAACAAACAGGATGAAGGCCGTTTAACGTGAAAAGCCTCAACAACTTTTGAAAAGCTGATATATTTCTGTGCAGCAGTAAACGATTTGTTTTAAAAGACTGAGGCGCCTACAAAACCAGAGACATGCCAGTATTAAGTTGAGTGAGTCAATATCTTCATACTAGACAAAAAGAATTTCATTTGAAACCAATTATATTCAAGTGATCACACATCCACTAGTCATCGAACCAAGATGGTTGAAAATTTCATCGGGAAACAATCTTGAATTGATCGAGGGTGGAACTTTGACGATCTTCCAAGCATAGGGGCTGAAAACTCTTGAACATCATTTCACTTGAAATACACTTCAAAAGCAATTTTAAGAAGTTGACGAAAGGCAATATCGTGGAAAGGCAATTATGCATCAATATGATGATTTCCGAACAACATTTTTTGTGTGAATTTGAAATCCCTTCACGAATCGAAGCTTATTGACTTTTGAACACCAATCCTAGATGGTGAAATTTTTTCAAGGGGATGCAAAAACTTAAAAGAAAGTAAACTGATCCGTGCCAAGAGATAAGCAGAAGCGACTGAGATTAATTTACTCTTGTTATCGGCTTTTGCAGCACACATATATGACCATGTGTAGTTAAAAACACAGTTTTCATAAATGTAAACCATAGATCTTTTAAAGAAAGTTGATTCTATGATCAAATGAGTTGAATTCCTGAACATAATTTACTAAAAACCATTTGAAAAATGACTGGTTTCGTATAAGCAATTCCTGTCTGTTTCCTCCTGCTCTTTCAAACCATTAAGTAAGTGGTTTTTGGACTAGTATTTCAGATAAGGTAAAGCCAAATTAGAAAAGAACTTCGAATGCTCATTCTATAGTTATTGAGATAAAGGAGTCTCCAAACATCTCGATTGTAAAACATGCAGTCCATCAAAGGTGTTGAACATCTACGGTTTTTCTTCAATGCGAAATTGTTACAACTATTCTACCGACACACATAAAAATTGCTTCATCAATAGTCACCGATTTACTTACCTATTTGGCCCAGAGAATTCCTACAAAAAAATGTGAACAGTAGCAAGGCTACTCTCAACAAACATGACGCCATAGTAAAGCTCTTTTTAAAATTAACGAACCAAGTAAAATTGAATCAGTTCAAGCCTTCAAGGAATTTCGCCGGGCTACGAACATCAGCCCTTTTAACCAAACCAATTCAAGCCTGTTGACTAGAGGGCCTTCGTAAACAATGCCATGATGTAGTTTTCCGGATCGAGCTTCTGGAAAGTGATGTTTCTGGACAACAAATACTTTATCAAAAACACCCTCTCATATGCATACATTGAAATCCATAGTTTTGAGAGTTTCTATGACAACGAAGGATATTGAATGTTGAAGATATAGAGCTTCAGAATTATGTGTCTTAGGAAACGAGAAATATTGGAATTGTTTGCTTTTCAGTTGGTATATCGGAATATTTCCCGTTTGTTCGACGTAAGTTCTTGTTGTTGTCACGTTTTGTCTGGGAACGCACACATAAAGGTTTTAACAGTAAATTACCTCCCCGTTTTGTCACCTGTTATGTGATAAATAAAAACCGAAGAGCTTATTCATAAAAATAACCAAATTATATTTACTTCTAGGATATACTAGCAACATTTTGAATATTGTAGGGAATGTATTGGTTATAAACTGCTGTCAATTGGTTGGCTAATTGAGCAAATTATTTTAATGGGTCAATTACAACGATGATACAAGTATGCACTTAAATGAGCCCTTAGAGAAAAACTGTTGGAATGCCACGAACCGCGGGATTATTTAATTCAAGAACAATGATCGATAACAAGAGAATATCTGAAAAAAGCAACTTCCCGTGGTACGATTTTTTAACATCTCAGTTGTATTTGGCAATACATATTTTTAACAAAGTTTAAATAGGCGTCGTTATTCTAAAACCACAAATTATTAATCTTTTAAATAAATTTAGCCTTTGCACAGGCGACGTGTTAGGGATATATTAGGACGTTCACTTGAAGTACTGACCTTTATAAGAAAGGGATACGTGTATGATTATTATCAAGTCAAGATTACGAAGATACAGTCTTTGAATGAAACTTTTTCCCTTTACCCTGGTTCAAATGTTTCTTACGTAATTCTGGAGAGTCTATAAAGAGTTTAATAGACGATCACTATTGCGATAGCATCAATTTCAAGTTCCATTAACCACAAAATTCATGTGGCTTGGTCGTTGATTTTGCACCTGAATTACAGCTTTGAAACTAAATGTGTTGAAATTAGTAAAAGGGCTGAGCCAAAAACTAATAAAGCATGCTTGTACTTTAAGTGTTTAAGTGACAACCGTAAATTCTATGACATTAGATGTCCAAAAACAAAATTAATTTTCACTTCCCAGACTTTATTATGTTTATCGCTTCAATATGTATTTGTCTCAACCAAACACACTGATCCCCCTAATATAAAGAATCTATCTGGTGGGGAAATCAGTAAAAGAAGAGTGAGAAATGCAGTAATTTATAAAATCCTTCCACGAAAAACTAAGATATTAATTTCGAAGTTCTTTAGAATTGAGGAATATCTCCATCATTTACAATACTGTGATTAATTTTTAGGCTGGTCGAATTAAACTGAGCTCTGAATATTAATCAGTATCTATGATAAAGAAATGCCATTTCAGTTTGTATGGTGTGATTACTTAAGACAACAAACAGATGAAGTATTTCAAAAGCTTAATTACAAACGTCATTAGGCAAAGCCGCTTTTCAGCATTCTTCATTTATCCAAGTGAAGTGGAAAAAGATCACGTTCAACTATAAAAAAATTAACCTTATCTCATTTCCGATTTCTGCACAAAAGTGCCGCTTCAAAAAATTAAAAAAACCCCGACAATCAACGTCACGTTCCATTAAGAAAACAGTCTACTTGGCTAGTTTGGCAAGCGCCTTACTTGTTTTTTTTATGGCGGGAAATGTAGAAAAATTGTAATCAAACAGACACATGTGTCGGGTTCCGAGTCTAAACTTGTTCGATCACACAAATAATCCCAAAAACTGTTGTACTTTTGTGATAGTGGGGTCTGGTGGAAAAGACTCACTTCCTGTCATCATTTCCTATGAACACAAGGTATTGCATGCCGATGAGGAAAAACAACCGACCCGAACAGCTTGGATTAGGTCATGATTTGATGCGTGCATGATTTGATAAAAAAGTTCATTAAAATCAAGAAAACCTTCATTGAGATGATATGCTACAAAAACAATACGATTTTCAACTCCGCCCTTAAAATAGGATACATGATTGTTTCAGATTACTGAAATATCAAGAAAAGCGGAATGGGCCTTTGTTACGTCACAAGTAAACGGCCAAGTTATTGAGTTAGATTCAAAATGGCCACCGCCTCCACAGTCGAATTCTGGGCACATTTGAAGACAGTTTTCAAAAGGTCGATTCACCCTCTGGGATCTCAAAACTCGATCAGTGTCATAATTTCAAATAAGGTTTTTGACGGTGGCGATAGAAATTAAATGATGATGTTCGTTCTTACGTGATGGGCGTGACTTCTCCAGTTAATCTACAAGTCACTCCAATCATGCGAATTTCTCGGGGAGGCCAGCGGAAAACAATTTCTGATGAGAAAATATATGTTGAGAAGAAGTGGATTCGTTTCATAAGCTGCGGACTATGTTGCCTTTTATGGTTTCTCCACTTCGTTTCCAGAGCTTCCGTTACAGAGAGACAAAGGACACTTGGAAAAAGCTTTTTCATCTTGCGTGACAGCCATACGTCTACTAATCGCTTCTCTTCGAAGAGAAGGTTTTCGGGTCAGGCTAAGTTTCTTTCAGTCTTCAGAGAGGAGCCTGCTCGCACAAACCGCTTATTTAGATTTCTAGTTCTCGTTAAACGAAAGGAAAAGGCTGTGCTCCGAAACGCGCCAGAGTTTTGGCGTTGTACTTCAACCTTCTTGCATGACTAATCACACAGCCAATCAAGAGCGTCCTCATCAACGGAAAACAATACAATATAATTCATATTTAACCAGCCTGCGCAGACGATGCGACAATGCCGAACTGAACTGACCAAGACGCTGCTCCTCCACCCAGCTCTTAGCCTTTTCACGAGTGATTCGAAAACTAAGACCTCTGAGTCTAAAGAAATGGCAGGGATGGTTGCTTTTTAAATACAAGTTCACCAGCCAATAACTTGAATGATGTTCATGCATACTATTTGTTTCAACAGTCCAAAGAGGAGAGATAATCTGTGATGTATTCCAGAACATTTGAACTCAAACTACCAAGATTGATTCAGGAAATTCCAGAAGCTTCAAAAACCTCCTTCCCCCCCAATCCCCCCCCCCCTCCAGATAACCCACTTAGCTGCCTGGGGTGCTGGGGTGGAGAGTTTGAACTGGAAGTGTCAAAGCTTTCCAGGGAAATACAAGAGTTATCTTGAACTATGAGGGGTGTTTAAAGGTAAATAGTTCAATTTCGCCAGGGAATGGCTCACAAGAAAAGATCTCTACAAAGTCCAGGTCTCAAAGTTTGGTCAATGTGTAGAAAGTGACGGCAACTTATTTTCCCTTTAGCGAAAGAAAAATTGAACAAACCAATCTTCAAAAGTTCGTTCCCCCCAGGGAATGTTGAGGCATGAAATTCAAATTGACAAATTGATCGACGCATTAGTTAGAGGGAGGCATTGAACAAGAAAATACAAAGGAAAAGGTGTAGGCTTACGTCACCTTACCAAGATATAATTTCCCTCCAGCAATGTCTACTCTAATCTCACAGCTTACTTACTGGGTAGTTCTGAGCGAAAAAAAGTGTCCTGAAATGGTTCTAACAATGAACAAATAACTGAGCTACTGTAGCAAAACTTTATTCAAATTTAAGGTCGTTAAACTATATTTAATAACTACCTCCACTGACATGAAGTCATCTGGTTTAGGCAGCTGGTATAACAAGACTAAAACAATTATATAAGTAGTATTTGTAATATTACTTGTGACTCTATCACGCATCCGCAATGAGTTGTCTGTGTATATAATTCACATTCATAGTGAAGTTCGGATTTAACGCCCGCTGTCATTGGTTGACGAAGGGTGTGTTCTATCTGTTATCTGAGATTCTGAAGAGACAACAAGCACTACCTTTAAGGACCACAACTTCTCAGGTTTTTAAGCAAATTGAAAAATGAACCAAGTCTTTTACATTTTTGGATGGAAACAATTCCTGCAAAGACAATGACGTCAAATTCAAGGAAAGAGTGTTTGAAAAAGAAAGATTGTTAAACTTAAGAAACCCGCAATTTACTGAATTCTTATGTGATGTCAAGATAATTGCATAGTTAAGCTTCATAGTTAACCACAAAGAGAACATTATAGAGGGTAAATACAAAAACTGAAATAATTTTCATGTCTTCATAGCTAGTGTTTCAAGACCCCTATCCACTACCCTTCGATCTACGATCATTTCATCAAAGACAATGCCGTTGTTGTTCAGGTTGGACACAATCTTAAGCAAGGTTTAAATTGATTGTGAGTAACTTTCCGGTGAATGTTCAAATCCCAAAGTATCTGCTATTTGCAGTGTCTAATACAGAAACAGGTGCAAGTGTTCTGTTCTTATCTATCTCCAATTTCTCTCCATTCATGATCATTTCATCCAAGATCATAAGCACTTTATCCACGTTGAACATAATCTATAGAAAGGTACACAGTCAAGGAAACTTATCAAGTATTATTTGTCAAAGATTTAAGTTACGATATTACAATTATATTTTTAAAGGATGTTCTCTTAATCTGAGTTTTTCCTCTCACGCAAAATGGCGAATAGGATGGTACCACGTGAGAATGATAAACTTGTAAAGGACAGACGGTCAGAAAAAAAATTATTCCTTCTTGACCCAGTCTCACTGCCTTAGCCCTTGGTCAGAATATTCAGCTTTCTTTAATTAACAGAAAATATATCTGCTACGAAGGCTAAGAAATAAGATGTTATAGTTTATTTCATTAGCATCATTTATTAGCAACAACTGTTGATTGATTGGATCAGAAAACCAGGTATAAGCACGGGGAAGGAAGAGAATCCAGACATGGATGGAGGAACTAAAGCGTGGGCAAGGAAGAGTTTTGGTTGGAGACCAGGTTGTCCTTATGTTCTTTGCTTGCGGGTTGAGTACGCATTATAATGATGATGTTGACGATGATGGTGATGGTGTTCATGATTAATATCTAACGCCGACAGGATTAAATATCCGTTGTCATCACCACAAACACAAAG